AAGTATTACGTTATATAGACCTTTGAAATATAAACCTTTGAAGTATTACGTTATATAGACCTTTGAAATATAAACCTTTGAAGTATTACGTTATATAGACCTTTGAAATATAAACCTTTGAAGTATTACGTTATATAGACCTTTGAAATATAAACCTTTGAAGTATTACGTTATATAGACCTTTGAAATATAAACCTTTGAAGTATTACGTTATATAGACCTTTGAAATATAAACCTCTGAAGTATTATGTTACATAGACCTTCAAAGTATTATGTTGCGTAGAACTTTGTGGGCCTCATAGGTTTACGAAAACCTATACAACATAAATTTTTGAAGTACTCCGTTATATTTAAATTCGCGATGTAATATTTTTTATTATGTTAATCTGTATATTATAATCTATAAATAGCATAAATATGAAACTAATAAAATCAGATTTACAATATTTTTATTTGTTGTAATAAATTCCAGATATTTATGTTACAGACTATATATTTTAGTTTTTTGTCAATTAAGGTTTATATTTCAGCTTTAAAATAAAATCTGCAATTTTATCTTAAATTTGTTATTTGATATAGGTTTTGTTATATTTTGCAGATATCTACACACCCAAATATTTTGTTGATTCTAAAGGTTTTTTTTGTTAAAAATATTATAGGACAGGTTAAAAATTCATTATATATTGAAATATCTACATTAATTACTTCAGAAGTTAAAATAAAGGATTTATCATAATTAATTTTCATTGAATGAGCTTGAAAAATGATTGAGCAATATCAAAATGGTAGTAAAATTAATCAAATTATCTGTAATCCAAATTGTATCATCTATTTATATTGAATTAGGAATATAAGCTGAAATTTTAGATGTCTCAGTTTTTGTTATATCTGGTTTTCATGAAACAGACATTTTATATCTATAGTTAGAATTTTGAATATGTGATAAAAAAGGATTGTAGTAAATAACCCAAAATAAAGAAGAGATTATTTCTTCTTGGTCAATTCCAACTATGATATCATAAGGGTCAGTATTATTATATGCTATAAAAACTGAATTCTTTCAGTTTAAAAAAGGTTAGTAATAATATTTGTGAGTGCTAGAGAAATTTTTAATCTTTCTATACTTTATAAAACATAGAGATACTAACTCTATCATATGCTTTTGACATATTTTAAAAAAATATATATAAGTTAGATTGATTGAATTTGTAAAATTTATTGTTAAGGTGATGAAATTCAAGAATATTATTAATAAAGATGGTTCTCATAATTATTTTTAAAATTTTTAACTAGTTGTAACTATTTATGAATTTTTATATTAAAATAAATTTATAAGGAGTTGCAATCAAGTTGCAACTTTTTAATTATGGTGCTCATCTTTAATTATTAATAATATGTTCAGATTCCATTGTCAATTAATGCAATAAACTAGTATCATCATTGAATACGATATTTTACTACAAAATGACGAAATTTGTCTCGAATTAGCGAAATTTTGCTTTCAAAATGAAATTCATCTTGAATTGGAGAAATTTCACTTTCAAAATGAAATTAGTCTTCGAATTAATGAAAATTGCCTTTGAATGTGAAATTCGTCTTCAAAATGACAAAAATCGCCTTCAAATGTGAAATTCATCTTTATTTGATAAATTTCGTTGTAATTCATTATAAAATTCTTAATGAATTATTATTACGAATTTCATAACGAATTGTTTAACAAATTTTGTTATGATTTATTGTAATAAAATTCATTACGAATCATTATTACGAAATTCGTAACAAATCGTACAACAAATTTTGTTAAGATTTGTTTACAGCTAATTTCATAATTTATAGACCATTAATAATTTTCATTCGCATTCAGTCGCAATATTTTATAGTAATTTTATTATAAAATATTTTCAGTTGCATTCAGTCGCAATTTATTAGTGTCTACAAATTATGAAATTAGCTGTAAATGAAATTCATATAAACGAATTGTTATAACGAATTTTGTAACGAATCGAAGAAATTTGTTATGATTCATTGTAACAAATTTCAGAACGAATCGAAGAATTTTGTTATGATTTGTTGTAACAAAATTCGTTACGATTTGTTTAAACAAAATTCATAATGAATTGAAGAATTTTGTTACAATTTGTTATTACGAATTTCATAACGAATCGGTTAACAAAATTCATTATGATTTGTTTAAATGAAATTTGTATAATGAATTGTTCAGTGAAATCTGTAATGAATCATTTTACAGAATTCGTTTAACGAAAACTGTAACAAATCATTTAATTGTTTAACAAATTTCATCATTTAAACGAATTTTGTTATATAATTTCATTTAAACGAACCGTACGAAATTAGTTATAATGATTTGTTATAATGAAATTCGTTCAAATGAATTTTAACAAAATTCATTGAACAATTCATTATACGAATTTCGTTTAAACGAATCGTAACGAATTTCGTTAACCGATTTGTAACGAAATTTCATTTAACGAATCATTAAAACAAATTTCATTTAAACAAATTTTAACGAAATTCGTTGAACAATTCATTATACGAATTTCATTTAAACGAATCTTAACAAATTTCGTTTAACAATTCTTTAACAAAATTCATTATAACAAATCATAACGAATTTAGTTAACCAATTCATAATGAAATTTCGTTTAAACGAATCTTAACGAAATTTGTTATAACTAATTTTGTACGATTTGTTTAACTGAAATCATATAACGAATTTCATTCTGATTCGTTCAATGAATTTCATTAAGATTTGTTTAAATGAAATTTCGTTACGAATCGGTTAACTAAAATCATTATGATTCGTTATAACGAAATTTGTATAACGAATTTCATTACAGATTATTAACAAATCTTGTTAATAAGTCTTGTTAGCGAATTATTACCAATCGGTAAATTCTAATTGAATAATAATCATCAATCGGGTATTAAACCGATTGATAACTAATTATTAATTAAACCTAATTTATTACTATTTAACATATAGTTATAAATTTTTTAAAATAAGTATAAAATCGGGTTGGAAACTGATTTATGTAATTATACCTAATAATTAAGATTATGGTCTTAACCGATTCATACTCAATTGTAGTATCTACTGATTTTATCTTTGGTTGCTGATCAAAAAATAGTGACCAATCGGGAAGGTATCCGATTGATTAGCATTTGACCTATGTGAATACATAAATAAAGAATTATGGTAAGAGGTAGTAGTTTGTTTAGGTATATATTTTTTAGCAGATGTGATAACTGTGTTAACAAAGAAATCTCAGGCAGTATTTAGAGCATTTTGATATATACAAAGATTCTATATTATGCAATTATTATACTTAAAATTAGTTTTGAGATAAGGTTCATTTTATCAGCAAATCAGTCTCATTATAGTAGAGTGGTTTTATTAAAAAGGAAATTCTGTTTAGTTACTTTGTGTTGTTTAGTAGATAATTTTTTGAAAAAATTTTTTATAATAAAATTAAAAGAGGAAAATAATTGGTTGAGTATAAAAAACAAATTATTTAGGATATTAAAAGTTACAAGATTGTGTGTTAGAGAAGAAGAGACAAATATGTAATCAATGTAAGAGGTGGAAGAATTGGAAGTCGATGTATAGATAGCAGAAAAAATAATATGAAGAAAGGTATTATGTAAAGGAAATCAAGGTTGATAATATTATATAAGAAACTTTGTAGAGTCTTTTTATATTTTGAGTTATAATTTCTTGAAATGTCAATAATAAAATTATCTATAAAGATAACATAAAAGTTGTTTCTTTGGCTTTGGATTAAAAGGTCTATTAACTTATTTTGGATTTAAATTCTAGAATTTTTTTATGGTAACTAGCAATAAGATATATTTGGATAATTGTAATTTAAATTTGTTTTTGAATTGAAAATCTAAATATAAGATCCAATTGAAAAAAGAACCTTAATTGAAAAGATGTGAATATAGATTATTTCTAATTATTAGTCTAATTCTCTGATAGTTTTTGAAAATAATTTGAACTGTAAAAGTAAAATTATAAGGTTTATTATAACAATTTTTGTTGATGTTTCTAGTTTGTAAATAAGTAAGATGAGTTTTATTTAAACCAAAGATATTAAGATTAAAATTAATAAAAAATTGTTCTATTTATTAGAGTCAGTTTGAAGATACACAGCTTCTAACATTATATATAGCAATTGAAAATAAGTTGGGTTGTTAATAGTTGATAAAAGGTTTGCGTTTGTAATATTATTATTGTTTATTATAATTATAAAAGATGTTCTATTATTATAAATAATGAAATATTGTGCACTTGTTCTGAAACTATATTTGATTGAATAATTGGGCTGATAGTAGCAATTAAATTTCATATTTTATGTTTAATATCATTAACTAATAATTCTACCAAATCGATTTGTTGAAGACTATTTGTAATAGAAGTAATAGGATTAATCTGATTGTTAGTAGAAATTACTGTTTGAATATCTTAAATTGGTAAGGTAGTGTTTTCAGTTATTAAGAGTAGGGTTTACCCCCTATATAACTAATATGATGTTTACATGACAAAAATTTTTGTTGATCATGTGCTGACTACTTAGAAATTAATTACATGACAATTATAATGTATATTAAAATTATTATAATACAGTATCAGTATAATTATTTGGTTTATATTAAATATTTCCAATTTTTCATATTAGCTTTTACTAATATATCTTCAACAAGGCCAAGTACAAATATACTACAAATATAAGTTTGACCTGTTAAAGATCTATTCAACATAATATCCTCTTTAACTATTTTAAACAAAATCAAATCATCTAATAACAAGAAAGTATCTTCTTTAGTTTTCAGTTTCCTTGTAAATTTTTCTTGGTATACTGCTAAATGACCAAACTGACTCTTTACATCCTTTGCCTGTGATTGTCTAAATATATCTATAACTTTATTTCTAGATATTTGCTATTGTGATTCTATTTTACTAATTACATTTATAACTTCTATCATTTTTATTACATCTGATCAAACATCTATATAAACTGGATTATCAGTTGCACGTTGAATGCAATTATCACAAATATTATATTTTTGAGGTAAGAAATCTTCTGGTTATACAAAATAATTGACAATTGCTTATTTACAATACTGATATATAGTTGAGCAATAAAATAATACTTCTCTTATTTTATTTTTAGCGTCAGATAAATATTTGATATAAGCTGAAATTTCAAGTCCTTCATCATTTAAGATTGAACTATTGTAGGATGTAATTAAAGAAAATCATATTAGTCATAAAATAAATTAAAGTATTTTACCTTTCTTTTCCTTTTATGTAAACCTCCATAACCAGTGATGTATATTTTTAATATTCCAGATATTTGTTGTCCCAACTATATATCTCAGTCATATATTCCAATATGTCTTATATTATGTTCTAACTGTTCCAACTAAAGATGGGAACTGTAATTAATATGTTGCAACTTTTAATATTGCAACTTACGTTGCAATTAGTTTTAACCTATATATGTTGCAACTTATAATGTTGCAACATATGTTGCAACTAATTTTAGCTTATGTTGCAACATTTTATAAATTTGAAATCAATTGCTGTACCATCTTTAGTTCCAACTATCCTATCTGTATCCCATCTATATCCTAATTATGTCCCATGACAACACTGCCTATAACTGCTTTAATATCTTTTTAGCTGAACATAATAATTAATTTTGCAGGTAATCTATCACAGTTTGCATGACAACTCTTTTGTATTAAATTTCCTATAGTAAATAAAATGATGAGATCAAATTTTCTAATAAATGAATTTATAATTTACTTACCCATAGATATTGGAAATCCTGTATAAATGACTACTTAAACATCTAATTCATTTACTTTTATTCCAAAAGCATTAGTTGTTATTATTATTCGGATTTTTACAGATTTTCATAGAAAAAGTGTGTTAGAATTTTCTTTAGCAGGCAATTCACTGTGATACATAGCTATTTCTTCTTTTTTAACTTTGGCCTGAAAATTTGTTAGTAAATTTTCACATTCTTTATAGATATGCAATAAATTATACATTTTTTAACTTCAATTTTATTAGTAATTTTCAAAATATCTCCTAAAAATTGTTTTTTATTATCCTTTTTCTTTTGTACTTGATAAATAATTGAATTATTTCTAAGATGTCTATTCTGAAATATAAACATTTTTTGATGATCTATACCAAGACGCGTTATAATTTCTTGTAGTAGGAAATATTTTTTTTAAGATTACACAAAAAGTTCCAAGAGTCTTTAAATAAAAAAATAAAATAATAAATAAGAATTATTTAGAGAAAAAATATATATATTCAAAGACTTACCTAAAATGTTTTTGATCTAAAATACAATGCATCTCATTTATTACAAATTGAATTCCTTTGGAAGTTCCAATTTGTTCTAGCATTTGCTAAAACCCTACATTGAATTTGAATTTTTCGGGTGTTATAATAATTACCAGTGTTAGTCCACAAGCAATTTCTTGAAATACTTTTCTTTGGTACCATATGGAGTGAGTGCTAGAAAAAGGGACCAGATTGATAAAAAATTTTTTTTGAAATAACAAATGAATGACCTAATCTACATTTATTTTACTTAGAAACTTTTTTTTAAAAAAAAAATCAATTTGGTCCATTTTTTCAGCACTCATTTCATATTAATTATGCTGTTGATACGTAAAGGCTACCACAAGGTATCACTACTTTAATCAATTCTAATACTTAGTCATTTACTAATGCCTTCAAAGGAGAAAACACTACTGTAATTTCTGTTATCACAACTGATGTCAATATATAACATAAGCTTTTTACACCTCCTATTTGTTTTAGAATAAGGGTATCATAATCTTATACAAAAGACTTGATTACATCTTTCTGTCCATTTCGAAAATCTGAAACTGAAAAATTTCACTAAATGCTGATTCACACTTGGTTTCTAAATCAATATTTTGTGAAATTTAATTTTTTGGCTGATAATTTTTATCAATAATTTGATTTTTCAAACCATTATCAACATAAAATTGACATACTTGACAAAATCCTCTAGCAGTACATTTCAGAAATGCATGACATGTAACACATATAGTTATTTTATTAAAATTGGGAATATGAGTGGAAAATGAAGGATAAAAGCTATTGGAATCAATTTGTTGTTAGGTTTTCTTTCCATAAGATACAAATTCCTATTAAAAACTAAATAAGTATTGAAAATAACTGATTTATTCTTTATATAAAAAACAAAAATAATCACTTGATTCCAATCAAAAGAATCAAAATCTTCACATAGATTTTGCAATGCAAGAGCATACTTAGCATTATGTTTCTCAATTCATCCTACATTATTTATTCTTTGTTAATCACACTCTTTCTCAATCTTAGTTATATTCAAAATATCTTGTTGAGACAAAGGAGTATTACTAGTTTGATATGCTATATTTACCATTTCGCAAATTTCTTCATTATTGTGCAAGATTGCAAGAGCATGTCTTGTTTAATATAAAGCAAAATAATCAATTAATTTTGACGTATACAGTCAACCCTTGATATAACGAATTTTATGTCCTGAACTTCAACTTCGCTATAGAGCTATAGTGATTTTTTTAAAGAATTTGATTGGCTAGTTCGTTATAACGAGGGTAAATTTAATATAGTTGTCCAAAAAATTCGTTATATAAAAATTCGCTATAGAGAGGTATGACTGTAGATAAGTTTAATCCTATTGAATGCTTCATTCTGGAAAGTTTGTGTTGTTGTATCAATTCCTTGATCAATTAGAAGTTTGAAAATAGATTCTAACATCAATTTAAATTGATTTCATTCAAAAAGTGTATGTACTTTGAGAGTTAGCTCTTTAAGTTATATTTCAGGATTATACTTGATCCAATAAACTTCTGATCAGCACAAATCATGATTATTACATAAATGCTGAAGTAAACCTTTAGTTTGAATATATTGGATTTCTTTTTCTTGAAGGTTACAATTTTCATTATTTGCTTTTCTAAGGCCTACAGTATATACACATGCCAAAAAATATGTTATAATATGTTGTTCATATTCAATCCACTTGGTATACTTTTTTATTAAAAAAATTAAATTATGTATACATAAATATATGTTAAATAAATATATATATTAAAAAACAAATGAATTCAAATAATTACAATTTTTACGAATATTTTTAGTAACATGTTTCAAATCAGCAAATATCTGATTGACAATCATAACATTTCCCAATATTTTATTTGAATCTAAATCATCATCAATTGTAACATTAAACAATATATCTTGTTCTTTAAGAATTAGAGTTAGTTTTTTGATAAAAGTGATCAAATGGTATGTTCCATTTGATGAGAACTTAAATCAAAATTTCCTTTCAAATAATTTTCTTCTTTCTATTTTTTTATTTTGCGTGATTTTTTAACAACATGAAATGCAATTATTATTTTATATAAATAAACTTCATATACAATTAAAATATTAGAAGAAACTATAAAAACTTATAATATAAACCTTATAAAATATATAATTACCATTGATATTCCTTTTATCATAAATCATTTCACCACTTACCTGTTGAGCATTATGTACATGAGATCAAGAATAATCAAAACTAACTGGAATAATTTGTTTACCTTAAAGGTTCGGGTGAAACCTGATTATTACACCTAATCTGAATCTAAAATCTAGACGATATTAGTTACGCCTTAACAAAAAATTCTGAAATGTCTGATTGAGTCTGATACTCTCAAATCTGAAAGAAACTCAATCTAAATTATTTGAAATTCTCTGAACCTTAATTATTTATGTGAAAATCAAATAATATAATATTATTGGTAAGACAAACATTAATGCATTTGTGTTTTACAAAATAGAGGCTAATTCAACTTCTTCAACTAATGAGACTACTTTATTACTTAAATGAAAAGTTGGTGGGAAACCTAAATCAATAGTTTGGGGAATATATATTCAATAAGAAAAGCAAATTTCAAAAGATCATTGAAACATAACATGTAATTTTTATAGAGCATTTTGGTATAAAGGCTCACTAGTAACTCTTAAAGTCTACTTAGAAAAATTATGTGTAAAAGTTCTTGCAGAAATTTGAGACTTTTTTTAGAACATTTAGTAATAAAAGCAGGTGAAACTAGTGAGCCTTCTTCAAAAAAATGAAAACTTAATTATCAATCATTTCAGCTAACTCAAACAAAACTTTCTGATTATATCGAAAGTACTAAACTAATATCTGAATGTACTAAAAAGATAATTTACGTATTATTAAAAGCATTTATTATTTATGGAATTCCTTTCACATAGTTAAAAATCCATTCTTTATTGAATTATTAAAAACTTTACGTCTAACATATGAATCTCCATCAAAAAATATTCTTTATAAATGACATTTAGCACAGGAAACAGCTTTTATTAATCAAGAAATAATTAAACAATTAAAAAATTCTGAGAATTTAACATTAGGTAAGTTTTTTTTTATATTTTTTATTTTTATATTTTTATAAAATTAAATTCTAAAAATTTTAATTAATTAATTATTTAGCTTGTGATAGATAGAGTAATTCTTCTAATGAATCAAATTGGAATTTATTTTACATATATCTGATCATCATCAATATTTATAGAGTCTTCGAAACTTATCCAATGAAAGATATACTAAAGAACTATTAGCAGAAGAAATAGATTTAGTTTTAGAAAAAGTTAGTTTAGAAAATATCTGCTATTGTAATAGATGCTGGTCCTATTATTCAAGCTGCACGTTAAATTATTATTAAAAAATATCTAAGCATTTTTAAATATTAGATATATTGCACATGCTATTAATATAATTTCAAAAAATATTTGTAATACTCTATTTGCAGATAGAATGCTTAAACAATATAATACTTTAATTACTTATTTTAAAAAATGTTATCTTGTAGGTATGTAAATAAATATTATTATAATTATTTAATTTTAT